GGGATGGGTGGGTTTACTGGGCCTACAGTAATTGGTGTAAGCTGTTGCAGTGTCCCCACCTGTCGGCGAATCTAATACATTAATTCTGAGTTCTTCCTCAGTATTATAATCCAGATGAATAGAAGCATCTTTAACAACAAGAACTGTATGGTATTTGGGGTCAAGAATTGCTGCTTTGATCCTCATCAACAAATAATTTTTTCAGGATGCTATTTTGGTGGAGAATATGCATGATATCCCATATCTAAATCGACATATTGGACCAGAAATTGTTGCAGCCATGAGTGTGGTATGTAGTGAGGTCCGAAGAGTAGTGAATAACTTGCCTTGTGGTATTCAGATATTGGCTGGGGCAAACAAGGAGGCACTGGCTGTGGCAAAAGCAGCAGACCTGCAATTTATCCGTGCAGAAGGATTTGTTTTTTCACATATTGCAGATGAAGGCACAATGAATTCTGATGCTGGTGAACTACTTAGATACAGGAAGCAAATTGGGGCGGATGAGATTTTAGTGTTCACTGATATCAAGAAAAAGCACAGGTAATTTCATAAATGTATGTTTTTCCAATTGTTTAACTATTTTATTGTCAGTGATAGCATTGATTTCTTAGGATTTCCAAAACATCTTTTTTTTTTTTATCTACACCTACAATACTTACAACATACAGTGATAAGAATTTGTAACCAAATCATCTAGTTATTGTATTAGTAACTACAAACTTTGATATACAGGATATTGGAGGTACAAAAGTTGTCTTCTACTGCTCAGCTCAGTCTGTCAAGGACAGAGCCTTAGAGCAAATAAAGTTTTATTTGTTTCATGTAACCCTGTACACCCTAACAGTATCATTCATTTTCTCCACACTGTTTTCTTCCCATTCCTTGTGGTTACAAAAAGGAGAATTTGATTGACAATCATAAGATTTTTAATTCTGACCTCTGTATTTTATTCAAGAAAAAATTAGGAGCCAGTCACTGTTATGGGTTATAGAAAAAAAGTAAAACATGTTTCATTATGAAAATTTTTTATACAGCTATGATGACATTTTGTGGAAATTTATTCTTTTCAGTTCCCACTTTATAACGTCTGATGTGGATATTCTGGAAGTGGCCCAAGCAGCAGAGTTTTTCCTCTCAGATGGAGTGATTCTGACTGGAAAAACAACAGGTGAAGCCACAAGCTTTAAAGAAATGCAATTTGCCAAAGAATCAGTGAATATTCCTGTTTTGATTGGTTCTGGGGTGGATGAGAAGAATGTGGAACAGTATCTTGGTGCAAATGCAATGATCATTGGTTCATACTTCAAGGAGGATGGCCACTGGACAAATCCAGTGAGTTTTAAGAGAGTTCACGCCTTCATGGCCAAAATTGAGAGAATGAGAAAATAGTAGTAAAATAGTAAAATAGTGGAACAAGAATGTGGAACAGTATCTTGGTGCAAATGCAATGATCATTGGTTCATACTTCAAGGAGGATGGCCACTGGACAAATCCAGTGAGTTTTAAGAGAGTTCATTATTCATTCGCGAACAAAAACCAAAGCTAAACACGCAGTCTGACTCAATACGTGCAAAAGTATTTATTTAAACATATACTGCACGATCTGACATGCTAAACACCAATAACAATGAACGCTCATTATTCTAATGAAGTTATCACATTTTATTTGTATATAATCTCTGAACTACAATTTTACATCAGTTTTAACATTTTACTTGATAATGAGGTCATGCAGACTTCGAAACGTCGTAGTTTTTTACCGTTAATTTTTATTATCAAATATAGAGGGTCATTAAGAAAATTAAATGCTATTTATATGCAGCTTGAAAACAAATATGATATAGCAATTCAAAAAATGCATGAGCAGTAAAAGAAACTGAGGCTAAATGTATTGAGTAAATTGTATTTTGAATTCTTCCCTCACAGGATATTAGTCAACAATTTGTATTTTGATTTTCTCATTTTCCTAGCTCAATAATGAATTATTAATATGTAGATCAAAATTGTAACTTTTGGTAGGTGTTATTTATTTTCATGTGATATTAATTAATAGCTACCAATTCATGACTAATTTAGTGACTACAGTGATATGATTATCACCTTATTATTGGTGAAGAAAAGTGACCCAGATTTTGGTCTATGAAATTTGATGCCATCTCAGATACTAAGAAATCTGTCTTTTCAGACTGAGACAGTTTCTCGTTTTTGATCGTGTTTCCTTTCCTTTCACTTTCTGGACCTGGAAGTTTTAGGCTCATAACTATGAGAAAGTATTGGCAAAATAAACCAAAAATAAACCGAAAAACCACATTGGAATATTTGGACACTAACAAACTTGAGATGTTGAATGTAAAAAGTGAACAAATTACCTTGCCTTTGTGAAAAGAAATTTTTAGAGTATTTAATTATGAGCAAAAAATGATGATTTCTTTTTGTATTTAAACAGTCATTGCGATGGCTACATTGTTTACCTTTGTGGCTGCAGTCCTATGTGGAATTTGCAGGTTGTCAAATTTTTATTTTTAATTTATACTTCTCTGTAGATTTGAGCATATTGATATGGTTACAAATAATTATATCCGGCTGACAGGGTTGTCAAAATGAGCCTGCAACTGGTGCATTGTACTTTCTACTCTGAAAGTGTGCCAGCTGTGGCAAATATTTGTGGCTCAGTTTTCAGTATAGATGCATGACATTGGTCCATCTACTTTGTATCAGACTGATTGCTCAAACTCTTTTTGGCAACCTTGAGCTGTAGGAATTGTGACATAACTACACAATATTAAGTCTAGAATAAATTAACCTTTCAAATGTTTGTCATCACGTTTGTTTTTGGTGTAAGTGAAGTGATTGTGTAGGAGCAATGCTTGCAATCTACTAGTTTCAGTATAATAGAATATCACCTAGCTCTGTATGGTGGATTAGGGTAAAATACCAATTCCTGAATTTTTTCGTTATTTTTGTTATGGAGATTTAAGTTCAATTTGCATCTGTAGGACAATTTTTTAATTATCCCAGGAAAAGCTGTGTTGGTGAAAAAAACTTTCGTTCTTCTTGAGGCACTGTAAAATTGGGATATTGAAGAACAGTTGACAAGAAAAAGCGTTTAGTTTGCTAAAGAAAGGAAAATGCAATGCACACTCGTCCCAAATTTTGCGTGATTTTTGAACCACTGCCCTCTAATGCATAGTTTCATTAATCTGACATCTATTCAAAATTGGTAGCGCACAGTTTGTTTTGTATAAATTGTCTTTCATCCAGAAAACTCTCCACCAGTCATTAATTATGGGCCAAGTTCAGCATTCCATTTGACAATATGCTCAACTTGGCTACCCAGATGAGGGTTCGTCAGCCTATCTGTCAACGCTCGCTCAGTTATCAGTAGTTACGTAACCATTGCATAAGATGCGAAAGCGTGCAAAGTGAGGTTTTGTTCAAATTCGTTTTATTTCAATCTCAAGGTTATACTCAAGACACTAATTATCAGACCTTGTAATGTATGAAATTTGATGAAATTGTATTTCTTTTTTCAAATTTTAAAAATTATATCGATTTTTTCTTCCGTTTTTGTCATAAGAAAAATAAAATAATGACAACAATACTCTCGTCAATCTGTACTACCTAAGAATGATACATAAATTACATAGCTGGAAGTGCGAGCTCCGCGAGCTATTCAACAATTTTGAGCCCAGTTTTCAAATTTCCAGGATCAAATTATATTAATATCTTCCTTACAATAAGGAATACAATACACTAGCGAAATAATGAACCTACACTGGAAAGTAGACTATACCCTCCGAAAGAATATAAATAGGAATGTTTTAAATATTTACAGTCAACGGACTTTAGACCCTCACGCCAATCCACAAGCGTCGCTCTTGAATATTAAAATTCTAGCGAAGGTCAACAACCCCTTTTGCCGTGTAGCCCAACATGTTTTCCTAACATCCTATTTCGTTTTTTATTTCGTTTGCTCCTAGAATTGTTTTGAAATTGAACCATATTTTGCTTTTTTAAGTTCTTTCTGTTAGCGCGAACGCTGCCTTGGAGTGGAGGTTCGGTTTGACGCCTCTTTTCAATTAACTCAAGCTGCGCTTGGAACTGGACTGTACGACGCGGTTCTCTCCTTTCCACGACCTCTTCTCCGTTTCTAGCTGCGCTAGAATTCCTCGATGCAGAAGAAAGAGAATATCGTCTTATACCTGGGCCATACACAGACATGCTCGGATGTTCGATGAGGAGATCTTCCATCGGGCTTGCTTCCAAAACTTCGGGGGAAAGCCCGCTCGCTTCAAAGCAAGGCGGTGGAGTTACGTACCAACTTTCCTCCAGTTGGACTTGAACTTTTAACTTTGAGTCGTCATTTTCTTTCTCATCTGTGGAGAATAAAAGCGAGAAATGATTCTAGGGTAATGCCGATTTAGCGATAACGGAGGAGGAAATATGATGTCACCACAGTGGCGCAACCCAATTCAGGCACTGTCGTGACGAACGCATCTTGACTTCAAAACAATGACCGGCAAACTGAAATGCGCGAAAATGTGTTCTTCAAAATACAAGATCTGCTGAAGAAATAGAGAAATATTTCGCTCACTTTCGCTTTAAATAAAATTTTCATGATACACTTTAGGCATAGCAGTTCTCACTCACCAGAATTTTTGCCATTTTGAACGTCCACTAAAATCCAGTCGTCATCGACGCTTTGGGTGTCGTCGACCGATCCCGGGACAAGTTGCTCGTCTGTTTCGCCCCAAATGTAACTTGAAATCGCCGTCCACATCTTAAGTTAATTTCGCTGATCAGCAATATCACTAATTTGCAATGATAAGTCACCCTTTCCTAAGCGAAAAAAAAAGGAAATCTGCAAGTTTACTTCGCCAAACCAACTCCTATTTTAAGACAAGACTAAGGAAAACACAGCTGACACTCCGATTGCTCTCAAAAGAAACGTTACAGCCTAGAAACCTTCGATGTTTTCTCTGTCTTGTTGAAACAGCAGCGTACTTACCGTTTTATTGCAGCGTAAGTGAAGAAACGACGAGTCCGCCAAAATTCGTTATGGTTCTTGAGAGATCTGTTTAATGTAAATTTCTGTTATCGAAGAAGGAACCGGTTTTCTGGTCAAATATTCGAGCTTATACAGGAAAAAATAACGCTCTTTCGCTGGTGGAGTGATTCAAAATAGATTTGTTGCGAGGAAATTGGTCGAAGCTCGGAAGGATACAACAGAAAAGACGCCTTAGGTTCGAGAGCAAATCCTACAGATGCTTGAAAAATAACCTATTGGGAAAACTCAATGTTTTTGTTGACATTCTGTCAACGTTGGTGACGTTACCAATCAAATCTACTTCTAGTTCCCAAATATGGAAAGCAAAAACAGAAAGAGATGCACGTGACCTGAACGTGTAGCCGGTACGCCAACCCTGGTGGACTTTGGAACACGCAATGTCCACCGTAGTTTGTAGCGCCCCATGCAGGCCAGGGGCTTAGTGCTGCAGAAACAATAATATACTTTAATGTGTAACGGATACAGCAGTAAGGAAACTTAATATTGCTGAGAGATGCATTTTTGAAATAATTCCAAAGACCGGATCTTTGCCTAAAAGTAGCCACAAGCGAGCTACGGGCCATAATGTCCACCAAACCGGAGTCACTATTTAGTACTGATTGCATCATCGCTTCTAAGAGATCACAGGCAATTTCGGTTTCCTCTGCGATCCACTCACACAAATGATCTTTTCACGCATTACAATACAATACAACAATACCACGACTTCTATTTCAACACGATGGTAATTAAAGCGTTGCCGCTTATGGGGATAAAAATATATTAAAATCGTCTCAATAATATAGAAAATCGTTATCATTTTTGTGAGGCATTGTTTGCGGAGATTCCGCCTGAAAGTCTAAGTTGCGTAATTTGTCGGATTTAGAGCCCATTCTTGTATAGTTCTTGACATTGGATGTCTTTGCGAGATCCTGGGTGAGGAGATTCCACACAATAGAAGCTCTAAATAAAATAAGTGTTAAAGCGTGGCACTACTACCGTGTTCATAGTACCTAAATGATGGATAGAAGAAGTCTTCTTGGTTAAAATATGACCCATAGAGGGAGGGGTACAGTCATGTAAAATCTTATAAGCTAATGTTGCCAACTTGACTTTATACATAAAGTGTAAGGAATCCCATTTGGCAGTCTTTTAGGTACTTCTGTGGTGGGCATATCTCGCGTTAGGCCGTATTTGCTCGAACACGCGATATGTTGTTTTCATGTGACCTTTGAACAACCTCCGGATTAGAAGATGAACCCTCTTATAGCTGCAGGGAGAAAAATTTTAGAAAGAGGAAACTTATATATGCTCCAGAATCTTCAGCGGGAAAATAAATTTCACCATTAGAACTGTCAGTTGTCTCCTCACACCACTCCTCGGGTATTCCGTCAACTCACCACCATAACAAACTCGCCGCTACAACTGAATTAACTCGCGACCAGTGGCAAATTTACTCAAACGTTATTTGCAGTGTCTCGATTATTGAACGTTCACTGTTACATGAAATGAAATAAAACATGTTGATATCACGAAGATAAATATGATCAGTTTGCGTGCAGCGAAACTAGAGTGAATTTCGCCGATTGATTTTTTCCTTATGTTTATCGTTTGAAATTTACAAGCTGATCATTTGATATGGAGGTATATTGCAAAATTAGCTTGGCGTCCTTTCTTTGGGTTATGCAACAAATGCCGACGTAACCTTTAACGTGAGTTTCGTTCTTATGAACGCAAAAATTCGAAATCAAATCTATCGAAACTTACATCATATGAAAGCTTACATTATTTTATTCTATTGTTTATTATTTCAATATGCACCATTCAAAGTCCGCACAAACACAGCGAAATTCAAAGAAAGAGTCTCTATGATAATCGTCAACAACTCAATTTACCGGCAGTGGCGAACTCAATTTGCAACTCAATTTACCACCCTGGTGGTGGCGAGTTTTCCAGGATGGTGAGAACATCTGGTCGATCCGAAAAGAAAAAAAAGGGGGGGAGGAGTGGTGAAGTCCGTTCGTTCCATTGGAATATAGCTGTTGTTGACTTTTCCTTTTATTTATGTTTTAGAAAACTGAAATCGTCTGTCCTAGTTCTACGGGTGAATGACGATGCGTTCAGAGTTATCGAGCATCCTGAAGATATATCAACCTCAGATGGCGGGGCCTCTTACCACACACGAGCTTTTTCCAAATAATTGATAGTTAATTGGAGGAAAAGCATCCTTCTCTATGAAATTTACTTCCAGGATCCGTGGGACACTTAGCTGACACCGTTCCATTGCAGCACCCTGAGGAGCCCATCATCAACTAAGAGGATTTAGAAGGATTAGTGAGCTTGTGAACTAAGCACAAGGACAGAGGAAATATAGTTTGCAATGAAAGTAACATGTCTAATATGGTACAATTTTCCTACAGTCTACCCATCAGCCCGGCTAATCTGAGGAAGGAGAGAAGCGAACGCCCGCTAGCTTGGTATGAGTTGCATTCGTCTTTCATCTCTGCATGCATGCAGCTGCAGTGGACGACAAGTTCGGCCTACGCACCGGACACTGCACCGGGATCGGCAACAGCCCTGCACCGACCCGATATCCAAAAATAAATCTTCCCAGCAGTCTTTGCATGCCGCTTTTACTCCGGGTAGTACAACGCACGGCGGGTCTGTGTCGTCCCGTCCACAGCCAATATGCAGTCATCTGTGGAGTCCTCTGGTTTCTTTGAGACTTTCAATAATGATATGGACGATTTTGATTTAGAAGACGATGATTTCCCAATAGGAACAATATCTTTCAACGGACGACTCGTTATTTCGGGCGATCCTAATGTTTTCCCAGTTCTCGGAACGGGAGGTAAATTATATTAAGTGCACAATGTTTATATTATATATTAGGTAGATCGAACGATTATGTCTTTCAATGATGATTATAGTTTTCTTCAGTGGAGAGTTTTTGATTTGAATTAAATCGTATTGTAGGAACATGATTTTAAACAGCTGCATCGGTTTATGCCTTTACATAGCAACGCTTAACGGAAAGAGGGAACATTTAATCGACTGCGTAAAGTCTTTCCCGTTGTCACATACCTGTTCACCCTAGTCACATATCGGGTGGTACATATTGAACTTATCCCAAAATCGTCGAAGTAAAACACACATACCACCTTTCTCGCTATGATTCAAAGACTGTGTTAGTACGTTCTTAGCGCGCGATCAACTTATTTATTTTGAGCACGCCAGGTTTGATAGCTAGTGTTCTACCACGAGGGAGTGAACGCGTGTCAGAAGACTTCTTTGCCTCCCGCATATTATCCTCTTGCCACACTCTTTGGATAATTTTCTTTCTACATGTCAAGAAATTTTACTGCAACATATGCTGGAAATCCATTCATGTCGCATCAATAATAAACACAACTAAGCCCTGCAAGAACAGCTGCTTCCTTGCATACTTTTGTATTAGTATTTATTACATGCTTTTTTTTAGTTGTAGAACTTTGTTTTAATGTTTGGTTTCTCGATGACTAATAAATTTTTTTCATCCCGTTTAAACATTTTTCTGACTTGTCACTCTGTTTTTTAGTTTCACGTTAGGTGCATCAAAGGGCACTGCCTTTTGCACCATTGCCATTTGTCAATGAATAAATCTTTTGTGATTTAATTTTATGTAGCTTGTGAACAAGCTTTCTAGTTGGGGAAAGGGAAAGAGATAAGCGGGATGAGAAAGAGTGAAAGAAAAGGATGAAAGGGTGTGGAGGATGTGGGGGAGGGAGAGGGGAGGAGAGGACAGAGAGCTTCCACCAACCCTCCCCCATTTTGCACTCTTACTTTTCCCACTTCATTAAATGCCAGATCCTTTTTGTACTTCCAAAAAAAGCCTGTCAACTGGTTACCATTTTTTGAAAGATGTATGTTTGGTTGTTTGTTAGGGAGAGGCATTGTGTTTGTGCCTGAAGATAAGAGTACTGATTGTGATGGAGAAGATCATATTGATGATAGTATTTGTAGAGGTTATGGAATGTCAGTTAATACAGATCCACAAAATATCAAGTTTGACATCATTTCAACCAGGATAAATGAAAATCAACGGAAGCAGCATGTGGTAAGTAAACTGAACTAATAAAAGCTGTTGACCCTTCCACTCCCAAGATCTCATTTAGTAATTCTCCCTACTGTCTGCATACAATTCTTATGATGTTAGTTCAGAGAATTCAGTATTGGATCAACTAATAATCCCCTGTTTGATAGTTTTCTTCATTCTTATCTCTCATTTGCTTGATATTGAATTAATATTGTGAGGACAAATTCTGTCTCGGTCACCTCTCTTATAGGTAGGGAGTTCATTTTGAATTTCTGTCAGTTTTATTACAGTTTTGCTCTGTATAAATGCCACTTCTTAAGTGCTTTTCAGTGATGCTTAACCTATCGTCACCCACTTGTAGCATGTGCCCATGCAACATTTGTCAAAATTTTGGAGAAACTAGAAAAGCAAACACAATGCACAGTAAATGTTTAAAAATCATCTTTTCCAGTACGCGGCACCTGCCTTTTTTTATGCTTTGCCAAAGCACTTAACCGATGAGTTGGTGTGAGTAGAGAACCGGGCTTTGTCTATAATGTGCCCTGAACTGCCCTACCAGGAGACCATCGAACTAGTGAACATTGTCTCCATTCTAGATTTCATCATGGGGCTATGTAATAATACTTTCAACACCATTATAAAGGACCCTGAACACCATCTGAATAAGTTAATTCAACTTGGTGGTCCGTCATGCTATGCCCTAAGGTGCAATAGGTGCTTCATTGTACCCAAATGCAAGACATCATTTTAGAAACAGTTTTGTTATAAGATCCTGTACCATTAATATTAATATGTAGGTTTTTTAAGTCCCTTTATTGTATTTTATTCCTTTTTTTACTTACTTTTATATTTAAAGTATTAAATGTTATGTACCCATTATATTAGTTTAATCATTTGTGTATACGCAATTCAGCCTTTGGGCTGCAATGTATATGGCCATTAAACTATCCATCTATCTATGTATCATCTTTCCCAAGAATAAGCTCCAGTGAAAGAAGACTAATTAACTAACTTATTTCCAAGGAAAAAGAGATAGAAGCATATTAAGTTTTTTCTCAAAAATCAAGATGAAAGATAAAAATCAGTAAATATATTTTTGCATGTGTTCAAACAGGCATGCAGATTATATTTCAAAGTGAATATGCAAATGGGACTGTCTGTTATGGACCCAAACAGTTTCTACCGATAATCAATTAAAATTGAACATTAGGTTTGTGTCTCTGGATGGTTTCTGCCTAAAGGAAAAACTTCAATAACCATGCATGATTGACAAATTACAATAATAAACTAATGGAAAATGACAAATTTGAAACCAACTTTTAAATGAAGTCATTTCACTTGTGATTTGATGCTTGATAACACCAGCATCTGCCAAGGTAAAAATTAATTGCAATTTCATTCCAATTAACAATCAAGTTTTCATTTTGCAGTGAGTCCATTACTACCAGGCACTGTGTAAATGTTTACATATTGTGTTATATACAATCTACTAAATTTTATGATACAAGTAAAATTGCTTTTGTTGTTGTCATTGTTTTATGTAACATATGAATTTTTTTCTATAGGCCATGAATGCATAAGTTCAAAAAATTAGCCTCCTAATTCTTCCTGGTTTTTTTTTGCTTTTTTTTTCAGTTTTACACCCTCATGGTCCTCAAAACTGAAGGTATTGACACAGACAAAGCTCTGATTGATAGACGTTACTCAGACTTTGCAGCTCTATATAAAGCTCTCAAGAAAGACCATTCCAAATTACTTGAGGGTATAAACTTTCCTGGAAAAGTTTTTGGTCAGAAAAGCAATTTGAACCCAGAAGTTATTGAGGCGAGACGCTGTGCTTTTGAGTCTTTTCTTCAAAAGATACACACTCATAAGGAAATCTTCCATCATCCAGCTTTTAGAAAATTTTTCTATCTACCAGAACTGCATGAGGCAACAGAACACTTGAAAGGTGGCAAACTGAAGCATAGTTTAAAACTGTTGCTTAACAGTCTGCATCTTCAAGTCAAGTTATGCGATCAAGTGAGGGAGATCATTGCTACTCTGGCTGCAATTGTCGTTGTACATGATGCTCAAAGTAAATTTGAAGAAGCTGAACGCTATGCAACAGTTGCTCTAGAATTAATCAAAGAAGATCATTTCTGTTCTTATCTCATTCCACTGTTGGATGCAACAATCAGACTTAGATGCAAACTACGAAAAGACAAGAGGACCCTAGAGATGCATTTGGCACGTGTTCAAAGGACAAGTGGGATTGATGTTGATTGCGCATTCACATTGCGAGAGCTTGCTGTTACAAGGTTTAGTGTGTGAAATGTATCTATTTCTAAGAGAGTGTCAAATTGTAGTACATGGGCAGGAAAAGTTTAGTTGTCATGAATTTTTGAATAAGTCCTCGGGGTGCTTGTTTCCAGTTAACATCAACATTGAGGTCACCAGAATTGAGGAAAAGGGTAAAAGTCATCTTGATTGATAAATTGACTCTCCTGGTCACTAACTTAGGAACTGTTTAAAGAACAGGGTGGAAAATTTGCAAAATAATATGGGGTGTAATGGGTTAAATGTGTAATTCTAATACATACTAGACTATGAATGTGATCACTTGTCTATAACAAGAGGGTGTAGAATTTACATAATAATATGGGGTGTAATGGGTTAAATGTGTAATTCTAATACATACTAGACTATGAATGTGATCACTTGTCTATAACAAGAGGGTGTAGAATTTAATTTTAATTTAATTTAATTTAATTTAATTTTTTTTAATTTAGTCCATTTTCACTGCATTAAGTTTTGCAGTGGGGAAGGACTAGAAAGGAACATAGGAACCATTCGTGCTAGTCCAACCTCCCACCCATCCCACCCCAGGGG